GATGCCTGGGGTGCCTTGGGATCCTCCAGCTGGAATAGGATCAGGTATGTGGCCGGGGAGTCATGGGGGCTCACTACTGGTCCGGCAGTGGTCTTTTTGGAACCTGGGGGGACACCCCTTGGTTTCTAGGTCATACACCAGGTGTTCCTGCTCTGTGTCCTTGAAAAGGAGTGAGGAATCTACTCACCAGGTGCTGCCTGTTCCTGAGCCTGGCACCAGGCCCAGATCCAAGCAGTAAGAGGCAGTTCAGGAGGATCCTGCTGGACAGCTAGTGGAGGAGGTGCAGCCTCAGCTTGTGCTGGCTTCTTCATTCTCCTCTTTGGATGAGGCAATTTCCTTGGGAGGCATCTCACCTCATCCTGATGATTATAAAACTCACCAACAGCTATGGAAAAAGGTAAGTTTGGGGATCCAGGTAGAGGAGGTTAAGAAGTCCACAGACCACTTTACTGATATTTTGGCCACCACAGGGCCTTTGCAGGTTTCCTTATCTATTCAAGAGGCAATTATGAAGCCCATTAATCTTTCTGGAAGATCCCTTCATCCCTTCCTCCCACTTCAAAAAGGGCTGAATGTAAATATTATGTATCCTCCCAAGGGGTTGAATATCTATACTTTCATCCCCACCCCCAGGCTCTCTGGTGGTGCCAGCAGCCAATGAATGGGAACGACAGGGACAACAGGCAGCAATTCCCAAATCAAACGATGCAAAAGAACTTAGATTTATTTGGTAGAAAAGTTTATTCTATTTATCCTGCAAATCAGAATTGCCAACCAACTAACTCTTTGGGACGTTGTGATTGTAATGTTCGGGACTCCATGTTAAAGTTTAGGGACATGTTGCTGGAGGGTGCTAGACAGGAGTTCTCTTTAGTTGATGAGGGGAAGTCTGTAGCAAGAACTTCACTATAGGCTGCACTGGACGCGCCAGACTCTGCTGCTAGGACTATTGCTTCTGTGGTTTCCATCTGCCCATGTTTGTAAACTACCTTTATAAACCTTTGTAAACTACCGGGAGATGCCCGGTTCCATCTCCCCATGTTTGTAAACTACCTTTCCCACTTCCTCAATGTTTGGTCCTAGATTACACATTTCGGAGAACAACAGTTACGGAAGGTTAGTAACCATTTGTTCACCACTAGGAACACAGTTCTTTGCCTGCAGGATATGAATAACTCCTAGTCACTACAATAGAGTTACTCAACACCTACAGTTTAAGAATAAAGATTTAGCAATGATTACAGTTCTGTAGGAATCAAATAAATTAGCAAATTCTCTTTTTGCTGAATAGGTTCTTTTGTAGAGTAATATCTGATACCCTAGATAAGCTGGGTCTCCCACGATCACGATTGGGATTTCAACATCACCAATGGTTATTTTGCAGTCTGGAAAGACAGTCCCTGCTTGCAGCTTTCTGAAAAGACCTGTGTTCCTAAAGATGTCTGCGTCATGCACCTTTCCTGACCATCCCACGCTGATGTTGGTAAAACAGCCCCTGTGATCCACCAGCACTTGCAACACCATTGAGAAGTACCCCTTTTGGTTTATGTACTCTTTGGCAAGATGGTCTGGTGCCAAGATAGGGATATGCGTTCTCTCTATCTCCCCACTGCAGTTAGGGAACCCCATCATGGCAAAATCATCCACTATGTCCTGCATGTTGCCCAGAGTCACTACCCTCCTTAGCAGAAGTCTTTTGATGGCCCTGCAAACTTGAATCACGACAGATCCCATGGTAGATTTACCCACTCCAAATTGATGCTCCACTGACCGGTAGCAGTGTGGCATTGCAAGCGTCCACAGAGCTATCGCAACTTGCTTCTCCACTGTCAGAGCAGGTCTCATTTTAGTAATGCTGTGCTTCATGGCTGGGAAAAGCTCTTCACACAGTTCCTGGATAGTGGCCTTACACAATCGAAAGTTCTGCAGCCAGTGCTCATCATCCCATAGCTGCATAACGATGCAGTCCCACCGGTCAGCGCTTGATTCCTGGGCCCAGAAACAGCACTAAACCGTGTCAAGGTGATGCATGACTCTCTCCAGCAACTGCGAATTGCTCCACTCTGTGTCTTCCAGCAGGGCTGCTTGAGTGGCACTAATTGTTCCATGCGGCGGCTCCTGTATTGGCTGTGTAAATACTGCAGGATAAGGCACGAGGTGTTTTTAATGCTCACAACAACAGTGTACAACTGAGCAGAGTCTATGCTATGGTGTCCATGCGGGTAACCCAGGCTTATGAAAAAAGGTGCGAAAAAGACTTGGTTTGTTTGCCATTGATTTCAGAGTGCATCATGGGAGGCTAATGCCATGTTCCCATAACCACCCGTGCCAGTGTTTTGGTCCCATAAGGCATTGCAAGCCCAAACCAAAATTCCACTCGGCTTTGTGCACTGTGGGATAGCTACCCACAGTGCAGTGCTCCACGTATCAATGCAAGCCCTGCTAGTGAGGATGCACTCTGCCAACACAATGAGCATAGTGTAGACATGCAAGATCAACTTGCTTAAATTGGAGGCTCTATGTCGACTTACATGAAGTCGACTTAACTTTGTAGTGTAGACACAGCCTTACATGAGAAACTAGAGAAATATAGCCCAGATGAACTATACTATACTATACTATACAATGAGTGCACAACTGGTTGGAAAAGTGTACTCCAAGAGTAGTTATCAATGTGTTCACAGTCAAGCTGGAAGGGTATATTGAGTGTGGTCCCACAGGGATCTGTTTGGTGTCAGGTCCTATTCAATATCTTCATAAATGATTTTGATAATAGCATAGAGAGTACACTTTTATAAAGTTTGCAGATGATACCAAACTGGGAAGGGTTGCAATCGCTTTGGAGCACAGCCTTAGAATTCAAAATGATCTTGACAAACTGGAGAAATGGTCTGAAGTAAATAGGATGAAATTCCCTAGGGACAAATGTGAAGTACAACACTTAGGAAGGAATAATCAATTGCACAAATAACAAAATGGGAAATGACTGCCTAGGAGGAGTACTGAAGACAAAGATCTGGGAGTTAAAGTGGATCACAAATTAAATATGAGTCAACAATGTAATACTATTATAAAAAAGCAAACATCATTCTGGAATGTATTAGCAGGAATGTTGTAAGCAAGATAAGAGAAGTAATTCTTCCACTCTACTCAGGACTGATAAGGCCTCAACTGGAGTATTATGTCCAGTCCTGGGTGCAACACTTTGAGAAACATGGACAAATTAAAGAAAGTCCAAAGGAGAGCAACAAAAATGATTATGGGTCTAGAAAACATGATCTACAAGGAAAGATTGAAAAAACTTGGTTTGTTTAGTTTGGAGAAGAGCGGATTGAGGGGGACAGAACAGTCTTCAAATACATAAAAGGTTGTTATAAAAAGGAAGGAGATAAATTGTTCTCCTTAACAAGAAGACAAGAAGTAAGGGGTTTAAATTGCTGCAAGGGAGATCTAGGTTAGATATTATGAAAAACTTCCTAATTGTCAGGGTAGTTAAGCACTGGAACAAATTACCTGGGAAGGTTGTGGAATCTCTGTCATTAAAGATTTATAAGAACAGAGTAGATAAACACCTCTCACAAATGGTCTAGATAATACTTACTTGTGCCTCAGTGCAGGGGACTGGATTGGATGACCTATCGCAGGGGTGGCCAACCTGAGCCTGAGAAGGAGACAGAATTTACCAATGTACATTGCCAAAGAGTCACAGTAATACATCATCAGCCCCTCCCCGCACCAACTCCAGCACCTTCTGCCCGCCGGCAGTCTGGCCGATCAGCACCTCACCCTCCCTCCCCGTGCCTCCTGCCCGCTGCAATCAGCTGTTTCGTAGTGTACAGGAGGCTCTGGGATGGAGGAGGGAGGAGCAAGGGTGCAGCAGGCTCAAGGGAGGGGGCAGGAAAATGCGGGGGCCTTTGGGTAAGGGGTGGAGTGGAGGCAGGGCCTGGGGCTGAGCAGTGGAAAGTTGGTACCTGTAGCTCCAGCCCTGGAGTCAGCACCTATATAAGGAGTTGCATATTAACTTCTGAAGAGCTGCATGCGGCTCCAGAGCCACAGGTTGGCCACCCCTGACCTATCGAGGTTCCTTTCAGTCCTACATTTTGGTGATTCTACAAAGATCATGTAATTAGAAGCCTATATGATACGCTTGTGAAGGCATCTTAAAAGAACAAACTTTTCACATGAAATACATGCACACAAGACCAGGTTGCGGTCTTCAGAAAACATGGCCCCAAGTCTGGTGTATTTGTAGTAGTATTGGCAGACTCTGCTCAGGACAGGCTTAAGATGTAAAAGGCGTTGCAGGTTAGGATGGAGGAGGAGTAGCAGAACTACATGGAGAATTTTGTACTGTATCTTTCTACATGATACCTGGCTATAGGTTGTGTTATTAGGGAAAGGTCCATTGGCTACTGAAGTCTATGGAAGGACTCAGTGCGTGTTGGTCAGTTTCTACAATATTGAGCACTCAAAGGAAGAAAGTAATTATTTTTTAATTGTATCTATGAATAATCTGATTCAAATTATACTGAAACTAAATACCTGGGTTTCTGTTTACGAAAACCTGTCAGATTATGTAACTGACAAGTTTACTTTAGTATTTTTTAATTACACTTGAAAAGATGACTTAATCCAGTTGTAGGGCTACATCCTCAGATAGTATACATCATCCTAGCTGAGCACAGATGTCACTGTAGCTACCTTAGTTTACACCAGTTGAGGATCTGTTCATTAGTGTATTGGATATACTAATTTCATTTTTAGTAAATACATTGTCAGTTGAATAAAATCCCTTTTACTTCTCTGTCCTTTCATCTAACATTCTTAATGAACTCAGTAAATTACAAGTTTTTGTTAAGATTGGCACCTTTAACAGCTGTCAGCTATTAAAAATAATCTTTTTAACATAACAATTCAAAAGACAGTCTTTTAAAAAAGCATTCATTTTGGATCACTTGTGCCATTCTTGAATTCTTATTTTCCAACTTTTTCTGTTGCAGGTAAATATGCTGAAGATATATTTGGTGAGCTTTTCAATGAAGCACACAGTTTCTCCTTCAGGGTTAACTCCTTACAAGAACGTGTGGACCGTTTATCTGTCAGTGTTACACAACTTGACCCAAAGGAAGAAGAACGTAAGTTTACTTCCACACATGACTGTGGTTCTTACATTTAAGAGTATTTCCTTTGTGCTGTAAATAAATTGATATGCAAAATGAAAAGAAGGATGATTTGGGGGTTAAGGCACAGGACTGAGAAGGGGAGGCATAGGTTCGCCTCTTAGTTCTGCAACAGACTTCCTATGTGATCTTGAGCAAGTCATTCAGCCCAACATTTTCATACCAGGGTGCTGAACACCTACAGCTTCCATTGACTTAGACGGAAGGTGCTAGAGAATTGTGACATGCCATTACTATTTATTATATTTTTGATTTTATTAATTAAGTCTAATTCTGGGAGTAAACCTGTACTCAGTTTTTACCTTCATGAGTGAGATTTATAAGCACTTGTGTGAGTAAAGTCTTCAGTAATTGACACATGGCCATTCTTTATTAAAATGTGTACAACTTTGGGCTCATAGTGAAGTTTGAACTGTAGCCCTGTTTGTCAAAGATTGTTTCACACATCTGTCCCAGGACAGGCATAATGCTGTTCAGCTCTCCCCTCTCATCCATCCTGTCCATCGTCTACTGATCTTCAGTGAACAACTCATCGTTTAGCTGTGGAACTTTGACATCAGAAAATCAAGGATGAGCCTTTGCCACCTCTTTCCCCACCTTTTTGGTCCTTTGTATCTTCTTTAAGATTGTGAAAAATTGACCAGTCAGTACTCTCCCAGTCTTTTCGTGTCCCCCTTCACTCTTTTCTCCCCTTCCTTTTTCATGCATACTGTAAATTTATTAAAGTACCTTATAATCGTTAAATCTGTGTATTTTGCTAAAAATCACAGAATCACACAGAATATCAGAGTTGGAAGGGACCTCAGGAGGTCATCTAGTCCAACCCCCTGCTCAAAGCAGGACCAAACCGCAATTTTTGCTCCAGATCCCTAAATGGCCCCCTCAAGGATTGAACTCACAACCCTGGGTTTAGCAGGCCAATGCTCAAACCACTGAGCTATCCCTCCCCCCTATTTATTTAAGATTTATATATTTTTGCCTAAGTAAATTTAGTATTCAGGAAAGGTTCTGGATGACTATCCTCAGATTGAAATCCTCTGCTTTTCCATACTGTTGGGTTTCAAGACTTAGTCATGAGATTTGGAAGCTGTCTAACAAGCCAAAATAACTGAACCTTTTGAAGAGGGTAGATCATGTAACCTGTGAAGGTACATAGAATGCTATAGTTTCCAATTCCAGTTTCTTTTTGACCACACAAAAAAATCTAACAGCTAAGACCCATAACTCTGTGGTAGAGAAAGGTGGATGAATATAAATCTATCATCGCTTCTTTCAAAGAACAAGATGACAGGTAAGTAATTTCCTTTTCTCCACAGCTTTGTCTACTATAGCATGCTTCACAGTTATTATTCTCTGTGTGTGATAGCAGCAATGGAAGCTGCAGTGTAGACAAGGCAGTTTCACCACTAAGTCATTAACCCTACATGGAATAAAAGGATGTGGGTTCTGTGACTGTTTCTGTCCTGGATCTCCTGTACAGTTAAACAACATGGTTAAAACACTGTTCCCTTTCTTCACTTAGACGGAATCCACCGTTTTACCATTAGTGAAGATATGAAGTTTGGTAGTATAGATGCAATGCAGAAGTAAATGAGTTATAAGAGAGCTGAAGACATGAAAAAAATGGAGAAGCAATGTTTTAGACATGTTTCTCCGGAACACAGTTTGACCTAAGGCACAACTGTCAAAAATAAGGCATATACGACTTGCTTAAAGAATTGTTACCAGAATGAGTATAAGAACATGTAAAATATTATTTGGGTGATTGATTCAACGTACAGTTTCAGAGCTAGCTATGGAAGGAGTTTAGGAGGAGCCCACAGCATTACTTTATTAGTATGAAAACTAGTGAAAATTGGATCAGTTAGAATGACAATGACTTCCTATAGGGGCTCATAGACCAGGTCCTCAGATGGTGTAAATCATTGTATCTCAGTTAACTTCAGTGAAGTATACTGATTTACACCAGCTGAGATTCTTTCCTTTAGAAATAATGTTGAGCCCTGAGAAAACAAGTAGCTCAAAAAACATCACTGGAGTGACTTAGGCAGAGGACTAGCAGGTAGCATTTATGTACAGCTTAAGTGGTATATAGGCATTGTGCTGGCCCTCAGCATGGGGTCAATTGCACCCCAGCTGAGCAAGATCACAGAAACCTTTCACCATACAGAGTTAGCGTAATTTCCACATTTCCTGAAAACCTAAGTAGGGAAGCTATTGTTTATAGACAGAAACAGAAAATATCTAAGAATCCCAAATCAGACCACTCCACTTTTTGGAATGTAATCTCAGACAGAGATTAAGATTCCAGTTTTCAATAAAAAGATGTTCAAGTTCTGCATGATTAGTTGCGGTTAAAGCTCCATTCATGGAGATAGAAAATGTTAACTACACTAAAGTGAGGATTCATGTTGCATCCTATAGGAACTATGGAGTTTATATAACTTCACTTTCCAAGACTAGAATGAGTAGAAGGAAGTTTTGCATTCTTATTGTGGGGTTTTTTTTTCAGTTCTGGTGGATAATGTTATAGCTATTCTGTTTAGAAATGAAAAACACATTTCTTTTGAGATAGCTGCACCACTGATGGATCATACCATTAAGCTGAGACAGCTTGTGATCAAGATTCTCTTTGTGGGACAAGCCGTTGCTAAAATTGTTAGACTGGACAGTCTGCTCAGTCTTTTGGCTCATTATAAAACAAAAGAGTCTGAACGTTTGGTTGGTCTGTTTTATAAAATTAGGTAAAAATGCACCAGATTTCCAAAACCTAATGGGTGTATCAGGCTCATACTCTGGACCCTAGTCTTGTGGAAACTATCAAGTTCTTCAGCTTTATAAGATTGTTTGCCTGAAATTGCCCACCCTAGTAGCAGGTGTTTATTCTTCTGTGGAATGTTAAGTGTGCTCTCCTGATTCTAAACAGGTGACTTGTAACTGACCTGGATATAGGGAAGGTGGGAGTAACCTTAGAGGGAGGATCTGGGGCAGGGGTTCTCAAACTGGGGGTCAGGACTCCTCAGGGGGTCACAAGGTTATTACATGGGGGGTTGCAAGCTGTCAGCCTCCACCCCAAACCTCGCTTTGCCTCCAGCATTTATAATGGTGTTAAATATGTAAAAAAGTGTTTTTAATTTATAAGGGGGGCGTTGCTCAGAGAGGCTTGCTATGTGAAAGGGGTCACCAGTACAAAAATTTGAGAACCACTGATCTAGGGGGAAGGCTGAGCAGTCCTAAGGTAGGAATCCTAGTAGCAGGCAAACCCAGTGTGAAGGTCTGAACTGAATTTTATGTTGTTAATTTCAGTGTAAATAAAAACCCAGGAAGGGTGAGTTGTTGACTCTGACATGTTTGGTATTTGTTTTAGAACAGATTTTTAAAAGCAACTGCTCACAGAATTACTGCTGATTTTCCACAAACTCATAATTTGCCCGAGGAGCTCTCACATTCTCCAAGTCTCTGAAAGTAAAACCACACACACCTCCCCTTTTTCAAGTAAAGGACTATGCTTACAATGATTGGATATTGAAAGATTTCTTAGTGAGCAACTGTAATCTTATAACAGATGTGATGGTGGGGGTATGTCATTTTCATGTTTACCCTTGGCAATCTAGTTATTGGTTTAAAATTTAAGTATTTGGGGAAATTATGTCTGTACAAATTTGGTAAATGTTCAAATTTCAGAAAAATACACAGGGACCATTTTGCTTGATGTAGTTACGATTCTGAGGATATTACAGAGTAGTGAGATGGGTATTCATACTTTCTTGCACAAATGGCCTTTGACAAGTTCAGTTATAGGCTTACATACTAGGCACTAATGGGTGTTTACTGTCAGAGAATCAGGAGAGAGATTGTTAAAATAGTATTTAGCCCAAAATGCACTACAAATGCTTTTGACAATACTGCATTTATTCTTGCAAATGTTTACTAAACCACACTGGTAAGGAAGTAGAAGAATGTTGCAGTTAAACAAAACAGGGGTAAGAGGGGGAGCCAGTCCACCAATTTCATGGTCATGCAGCATGACCCAAGTGGCAACTCAGTATTGGTTCCTCATTCTCTGGGCTAGCAGTGCCTGGCAGTACTTTATAGGAAAGGCTGGGGTACTGCCTGTCTTACTGATCCAGGATTGTCATTTAACAAGTTCCTTGAAGAAGCTATATCCAGCACTCCTTGCTTAGAAGAACAGGTTTGCCCAATGTGAATCCTTTGATAGGGGAGTAAAGAGATGGGGGGAACCATTTGTTCTTTACCAGGCTTCTCTGGCTTTGAATTTTAAGGGTTCACTTACAAACAGTTCTTGCTCTCATCTGGGCTAAAATAATATCAAGGTTTTTAATGGAGGAAAATGGTTTATGATTTAAGTAATAAAATCTAAAAAAGTTTGGCAAATTAGTTTGGTAAGTTACAGAAGGGTAAGGGTAGAGGAGGGCTCATGGAGCCTCCTGTCTTAAACCTCCATGCGAGATTCAAGCAAATCTCAGTCCTTATGCTCAACTGATTGTAAAGTATGCATTTATTTAGCAGTGCTAGCCACTCCAAAGGGGTTAGGAAGGAAGCATTACTGTGGTTCTACCCTCTGACCAGCCATGTAGCAGAGCACATGCTGCACCCTCTGAAAGTGTGTTGGAGTGACAGCACTGCCCCTATGCACCATGGAGCTAGGAGAGACTTTATATCAACATGTTTTATTTTTCTTCCATTAGAAATTTTTGCCATACAAAACGGAGTGATTTACAGAAGCCCTGTAAAAACTTCACTCCCTTCTGTTAAACTTAACTTGTATGGCAATGGGGTCATCTATACCAGGATACGCATCAGGTGATTCTCTTTTGATATGCCACTGGGGTATTCTTTTTCAGCAGACAATAGCAGAGATCTCTTTTAAGATGTACTCCTCTGTGTCCACACAGCAACAAAGAAAAGAAGAAAAAATTCACTTTTAGGGGCTC